ATTGTCTGTCTGCACTGTGGCATTCGCGAGACGAAGGTGGACGTAGTGGGCGAGTTGTAATCTTCTCTCGTCTCCTCGACGAACTCGCTTACGGCGATTAGGCCCGGCATTTTTTCCCTCTTTCTCCCTATATTGGCCGGAACAATTGGGGAAGCCCCCCGAAATTCGTCACTTAGCGCTGCCGTTACGAGCACTCACTTCACCCGAGACACGGCTCTTGCTCCGCCGTTTCGCCGGTGCGCACCATAAAGTCCGCGGGAGGGCTGTCACCTTCTGTCTCCTCCCAATGCCGTTTCCCGTGACGCACGGTAAACGTCGTCCCGGTGCGACGAACGGACCCAGCGAGGAGCACCAGCGGGAGGGGTAAGGGGGGAGGAGCAGGAGGAGGACACAAAGAGAAGAAGTAGAGGGAACGGGGCTGGACAGAGGAAGGGAGAGAGAAAGAGAGAGAAAGAAACTTCAAGCACACGGTCGTCTGTCTTCTCTGCCAGCGAGAGACACTTGCGCGACACGATTATTTCTTTAACATCTTGCCTAGCCGGGGTTCCCTGCACTGGCCGCGAGGAAACATATTTCGCACGTTCGCTCGATCCGTGCGGCTCGCGTCGCATGCACACTCTTCCAACGCGCGTACGCGGCTGCGTCCCCCGGGGGAAATCTCTTTTACACCCACTGGCCACTCGATCTGAAGACAACCCGATCGGCGCCGAAACGTTTTCGTCCACGGTCAAAGTTTCACTGAGGCGGCGCTGCGTACGCTTGTACCTTCGCCGTCGAAGAGGCGATTGGAAGAGGGCCTCTTCGCGTCGAAAGTCGACAGTGGCGCTATCTCGCGATTCGGTCGTCACTTCCGACAAACGAATTCCGTTCCACGAATTTCGAATCGAAGCTTTATTATTATTTATCGTTCGTGCATGTTACAAAAGTACATTGTGATAAGACATTGTGTATGACATAATATAATTATATATTGTATTACAATTATAATTATTTACTAATATTATGATAATGTTACCTTAAAATCACGAGTACATTGGTAATCGAAATTATACAATTTTTTTTTTATCGAAGTTGCGGAAATACGAAGACATATTTGAACATGTCATTGTAATTATTTTTCATATTTTAGAAATAAACCGTAAATTAGTCGTAACTCTATAGAAACAATCGATTAGAAATGCTCAAAACTAAATTATAATATCAAATGCCAATATACTCATCTTACCATATTATATATTTATCATTCGTGTTGTCATTAGACTGCAGATTTTTATACATTCGAAATTTTTGAAATTTTATATGAAATATCCAGTTTTTAAAAATATTCATATTATACATGAAACAATTTTCTACCAAGGTTCTATTTTCTTAATTACATTTTCAAAGATATGATTTTGCATAAAAATCCACAATCATCATATGTCTCAAGTAATCAAACTTTAATAGTAATCAAAGATTAGCTATTTAAAGTAAAAGAAATAAGGTTCAGACACAAATAAAGAGCTATAAATATAAATCTTTTTCACTTTTATTGTACAAACAGAAAAATTAAAGGACAAGCGTTTCTTGCAACTTAAGTTGCTTTTTGCTTTTTGCTTTTACTTGAGCTGCGATGCGATCTAGGTCTCTGCGACCTTGGCTGGTAAGCTTACGTCCTCCAAGTGGAGCTTTCTCGATGAGCTTTAACTGTTCTAAGCTTTGCAGAGCTTTACGTGCGACACCACCTGCAGATCTGCAGAAATGGCTGGGGTGAGTGCCATTACGTTTGCGTCCACCAAAGATTTTCGTTACAGCTCCAACACCGATTGGACTACGAATATAGATGTGACGAACCAAGGCTGCACACCTAATGTAATACCAATCTGGATCATATGGGGCAAGTTCTTTGAAACGCGCAGACTTCACAATATCCACCCATTCTGGAACTCGCATTTTGCCAGTTCTAAAATGTTAAACAAATTAAATACTCAGGATAGTTGAAGAAAGTAATAGATATATACATATTCCATTGTTGATTTGTAACAAGCTTCCACGTCGTGAATACTTTTGTTGAGGTTAGTTCTGTTTACGGTATTGAAATTACTCACTTTTTCAAAAAGGCAGCGAAGGCCTTTACGAATTTGTGTTGGTCAACGTCTTTCAGCGTCACGGAAGGCATCTGAAACACAATAGTAAAAAATAGTCAACAATGCAAATATCGTACATGGTATACGTTTATTTTACACGTGTATTGTAGTACTGTAAAGCTAAGTTGCGTACGTATTTCAAAATATATATAAACATTGTGCAATGTATCTTAATTAATTTATAATTGTAACTTACATTACTCTTTTTGCTACAATAATATGTCAAACTGTGGAAAATTGACAAAAACACAAACCTTTGTTCGAGAGCTAACCGGAAAGGAAGTACCAATGACACGATGCTAGAAGCAAGTTACAAAATGGCGGTACTAGCAGGAAATGATCAGTACATAGAAATGTCTCTTAATGAATAAATATATTTCATCATTTCGTCAAATGACAATAAAATGTATATAACTAGATAATTTTAGATATTGTTCTGAGATCTACAAAATTTTTCTTTATTTTTTTTTTGTTTGATCATATGACCATACAACGAAATATAAACATCATAATTTTTTATTTAGTTCATATACATGTAAATACAGCATTATTATAATTTTCATTTCATACGTGCACGAATTGTACAGTTTAGTATTATCAAAATATAAACTAGATATCTGATAACATAATCACCAAAATAATACTTATTTTTATCATGACATCATCATTACTTTAATAAACAGTGTTGCTCATTGTGTGGTTAGAAGTGGGGATAAATACGTTGTTTCTAAGTTATAAAAGACGGATCCTACTAGATCTTCGCTATGTTTAAAACTTTGTGTCGACATCTAAAGTCATCGTTTTCCAGATATAACTTAATCATTATGAATTTCTGTTCCAAGGGCACAGCGTTAACCGAGCCAATCCCTTTTTCCAAGGATTTTCTTCTCCGTCAAGTAAGTGTATTTCTGCGCAGGTTTCATTTCGCAAGTGTGTACGCACCCATTCGAATCTTGCTGTGGCTATAGCGACATCTAGCGAATTTATTATGAATTACAAGTTTCAAAGAATCAATTTTTATAAATTGCCCACTTAGCTTTAATTGAGTGTTTGTCCTATATAAATTAATTTATGAGTCATATAAATCAATTGTTACTATTTATTTCATTATCAATTTATGAGTCATATAAATCAATTGTTATTATCTATTTCATTATCAGTTTTACGAATTACGTAAAAGTTTTAGTACGACATTCTATCTTACAACAGGTATACTTTCAATAGTATTTTAACATGAAAAGAACTATAAATTAATCACTATTCACAGTAATTTGCAAGCAATAACTTTTGAGCAGAAATTGTTTAAATATAAATTGTACAAAGTTATGAATTATGTATAAAGTGAAATTGCGTGATATTGTGCAATTGGATAAATTGAATTATTCATTGTTTTAACATAACCTGTTTATTTAACGGAACGTTAAGACGTAATCTAATGGTATGATGTAATGTAACAAATTTTTGAAATCAGTGGTAGAGACTTTTTTTTAATTAGCTTTACTTTTATCTTCTATTAAATACTTATAAAAAAAGGATAATTGAATGAAAAAATATTACGGAATTTTGCGAATGACTTAGATTAGAGTGAAACAAAATATTTGCTTTTGAATTGAAATTTATTTCTCTACAGAAAAATAAAAATTTTTGTTCTTTTTTTTTTAATTAATTCATGAATTTTGTTTCTTTTTTAAATTAAAAATTATCTCAATGATTAATTCGAAAGAATTTATATGGTTTTACATAAAAATGAAAAATGCAAATATTTTCGAGAAATTTTGATGTTAGGATCAATGTAAAATAAAAAAAAAAAGAAGAATAATTTGTTGTTTTTCACGAGTTGAAAAGAATTATTAATTTGATGAAAAATGATAATAGCAATATCCTTGAAGAAATTAGCAAGTTACAGCACGCTAACAGGAGGGAACAGGACAGATATTTAATTAAACTGCAACTACATCAAGCAATCGATCAAGTACATTAGGGTTTGCAAAATTTAAAGTTGTTCTGGAAGTTCCGGTATTCCAGCGATTAATATTGCCTTAATATTCCATTTCAGAAGGCAGGAAATTAACATTTTAGTTTGCTCGTAATAGTAACGTAATAGATATCAAATTTATTGTTTCGAATAATTAATTAAATTAGAATTCAATGCAATTTCATTATCGTAATGAGATGTTAATAATACATTAAAAATTGCAATTGTCCTCATATTTGCTTAAAATTCCGTTACATCTATATACACGATAATGTTAAACTCTTTTACAAATAATTCGTTGAATTACTACAAGTTTTAATTAAATTACGGGCCTTAATTAAATTAAATTAAATTATTAATGTATTAATAATTATTTGAAAATTGGAATTTTTTAATACGAAATTGGAGCAGATTAATTTTTGTTGTATTTATAAAAAGTACGATACGTTGCAATGTATTAAGGACCAACGATATGAATTTTTTGCAACTTTTTTTCATAACATTATTTTATTAATTTATTATTATATTATAAGTATTCAATTTTCTTAAATTCTATAAAATTATAGAATATAACAGCGATGAAATAATGTTAAGCGAATTCTTGGAATTTAAAGAATAGAATTAGAATATCTGAATTTGATAATAATAGATAGAATTAGATACTGTAAGTCGATCGAGAATAATTGCAAATAAAATGTTGCGTTAACGCAACGTTGATCCTTAATGGGTTCTTTTAACATGAATTTCATTCACGAAGAATGAATGGTCAAAATCGAAATATCTACAACGATCGTATCATATTTATGTTCATAAATGTCATCAATAATTACAGCCCATTAAAAATCCATAACAGAATTAGTATTTTATAAATCTTATCATTCCGAAATCAAATCTCTTTTTCCACTTTTTAACAAGTTTTAATTGAAATTCTTAGATGTTCGACCCCGTGTCCAGCACGTATACTTATCTGTTGGCTGACATCAACGATAAGATCGCGATCCTAATTGATCCAGTCATCGAATGGGCAGAACGAGATAAAACCATTATTCAGCAATTGGGATTAACGTTAAAATATGCCAGTAAGTTGAGAATATAATCACGTTCGTGGAAATCATGCTCCATTCGCTGTCGCTTGAAATTCACGATAAAACCGGAAGTAGGTTGACCATTTCTTTTTTTCTTTTTTATTTTTTCGTCACCAGTGGAAATAAAATTGAATCCACGGAATATGATGTTCGTTTCACACACACACACACACACACACATATATATATGTATAAAAAGATATTTCATTCTCGAAGAACATTTTTGGAAATTATTCGAGGGTGAATATACTTTCAGTTGGAATGAAATTCGACGCTTTTTCTGCCACGGTCCTTTCTGTTCTCTGGATGAAAATACACCCTCGTTCAAAAAGGTATTATATTCGTTCCCAAATTGGAGAAATTAAATAGTACCTTGATCAAGATTAAAACTTAATCTATTAATTTATTAAATTATGTATTAAATTAATAGTATTGTTTGTATAATGTGTACTAATATGTTATTTAAGAGGCTATATATATTAATTTTCTATATATATTTATTTAAGAGGCTATAATATATTAATTTTATACATTTTTTATGAAGTTTTATACATCTTTTATGAAGTATCACTCAATTGAATGATATAATAGTTTGTTATTATTAATATATAATATATATATTTATATATTGATATAACAGTATGTTATTATATAATGTATATATTTATTATTATTAATATCTAATATATATAGTAATATATATTATAATATATATAATTATTATAATATATATATAATATATATAATTATTATTAATATATAATATATATAATTATTATTAT